AAACCCCCAACAATAGTAGCCAAAGCATGGTCATGCCTATTAACTGAAGAGTCCATACAGGTTGACCTTGCTCAAGCCCAGGTATTTGGGAAAAAGGAAAAGCCAGAGCAAAAGCTTGCAAAACTCCCCCCAAGATAGCCAAAATCAGGGTGAGCGACCAATGCTGGCGCGAATAAAGACGCAGCAAGCTCATGAAGAGGGTGGAGCCGGAGAGGGGGTATTGAGGGATGAAGGAACTAGGGCAGAAGTGTAATGCTCGGCCTTATTTTCATCAACTTGGTCAGGCGTAGGCATTTTCTTGGCTTTAAACCATTTAACCGCACCGCCTTTTGTGTGCTGCACTGTAAAGCGCCAGCCTTGGTAGTCGTGCTGCTCACCGCGTTTAGGAACATGGCCCATACGGTGTGAAATTAGACCACCTATGGTATCAAACTCTAAATCATCATTGTCTTGGACTTTTAAATCAAAAGCGTCCAATACCCGCGCAAGCAAAGCGTCGCCATTGATGCGGTAGCTTTGGTCAGGTAGCCCAAAAATATCGCCATGCTCCTCTTGCGTATCAAATTCGTCCTCAATCTCGCCCACGATTTCTTCTAGCACATCTTCAATAGTAATGAGACCGGCAATGCGGCCATATTCGTCTACTACCATAGCCAAGTGGTTGCGCTTACCACGGAAATCGCGTAATAAATCATTGAGATTTTTGCTCTCTGGCACAAAAACAGCAGGGCGCAGCAATGTACGCAAACTCAAATTGGGAGAGCGCTGGAGTTTGAGCAAATCTTTGGCAAGCAAAATGCCTATGATGTTTTCCTTATTGTCCTCAAAGACAGGAAACCTAGAGTGCGCCGTATCTATGACTTGGTTGAGCAATGATTCATAGCTAGCTTGGATATCAATAAAATCGACCTTGCTGACAGGTACCATTACATCCACCGCGCTCATGTCTGCCAAGCGGATGACACCTTCAAGCATGGCGCGGCTTTCTGCGCCTATAACATCATTGTCCTGGGCGTCAGCCAGGGCATCTATGAGCTCGTCTTGCGAATCTGGACCGGGGCGGATAAATTCCAGCAGCTTTTGCA